TGTTACTCTAAACCTAGAAAACTCTGGAAAGTGTTGCCATAATTTGGAATCAACTTGATAGCATGCAATTATTATTTATATAAAGCACGTCAATTTCTGCCCTACACACAAGAAAAAAGGTGGGGAAGGAGAATGAAGAACGGTTAGTGTAGAGTTCCTATAATGGTCCCAGGATTCCTCTGTATGGGATCATGGCTGTTAAAGCATATCAACGTGCTACAGATGTGTTACTGCAGATACACTTTCATCCCAGCACTAACCTTTACAGTGTGCTAGGTTTCCAAACTTTTGAGCATGAGTGCCACATCGTATATTTTCAACATTTTTCAGGGCCAAAGAATGCACAGCTGCACGCACACCTGCATGCCTGCACACTGTATGCACGCATGGATGCACCCCTGCCCGTCCCCCATGCACATGCGCACGGGCTGAAGGGAACGGCCAGAAAAACAGCAAGGCAGGGTTGGAAGTGGCCCGCAGGCTGTAGTTTGGAGACCTCTGTGTTAGATAAATACATTTTAGGCTGGCAATTATTGCACTTTCCTACTTTGGCCCGCGGGCCATAGTTTGGAGACCTCTGTTAGATAAATACATTTTAGGCTAGCAATTATTGCACTTTCCCACTTTTCTCTCTCTACCACCCAGGTCTTTATGCTCCCTGCTGTATCTTTCCTCCAGAGAAAGAACACGTCCCTCCTACTGGAAATCATGGGAGCTTCTCCCCTAAACATTACTGCCACATGGGAGTGCTTTTGGCATGTGTGTGACTGGGAAAATAAATTACAACTCTCCCCTCTCTGTGTGGTGTGACCCTGTTCCCACACCAACTGAAATCCTGCCCTTAACCCCTCATGTGTGCCAGATGATTTTTTTTTCCTGAAGGGAGTCACTGCTTGCTGGGAAGAGATGCTGCTTTCCCCATCTGTGTTACCCAAACTGCCTACCTGCTTGGCAAATAAACTTACTTTCCTTTGGCACAAGTTGACACATTAATTTTTCTAAGGAAACGTGGAGCATAGCATGTAGGTGCCAGAGTGTAGGCCCATTCTCTACGCAGTTATCCACCCAAAGATTTTTCCCTTTGCAGAGTTTAGGATTGTTGGAGGAAGCTCCAGTCAGCAGTAACCCATGCCTGAGTTTGTGTATAAATTCTCATGAGATCTGGTGAAGTCTTGTATGACTTGCTGAAATTTTACAGGACTTCTATACTATGCCCCTGGACTTCAATCTGTGGTGGCTGCTTCCTGGTCAGGTGGTGCATGCACTGCAGTCTCTCTCTTCATTCTAAAGTCTGATCCTACAATCAAGCAGAAAATCAGCCCCAGGCTTGGATAGCAGGAGGGATAGTGACAGGATTCTGGGAAACAGATTAGAGATTGATGTTTCATGCAGCAGGGTACATACTTATTCATCACCAAAAAGGATACAAGAGGACAGTGATTTGCATAAAATTGCATGTGTTGATATATATGGACAGGGCAAAATTAGAAATTGATTTTAAATTAGAAATTATTTTTACGCATCTTACTCCGCTGGGAAATATAGTGGATGGCTACCATGTACTCCTATTGAGATTGTTGGCCAGGTGCTTGTCTGGTTTGACAGCTTCAGGGTTGTAGATCTTCAATTGGTGCCGCTTCAAATAGAGGACACCTTCAAAAGGAGGATTTTCCTCTGGCAGCCCTTCAAATGCAGGCCTATGTAAATGAGGGCAGGTGGCCACCCTGTTCTTGACTCAGGCTTAACAATGCTTCACCTTTACAAGCCTGCAAGTCTGTCGAAAGCAGAAGTAAGAGAGGAGTCATAGAAAAGCTTATGAGAGAATTTGAAAGGAAGGAGGGTAGAAGGAGGAGGAGAATAACATCTTGAATGAATGATTTGAGTGATTGCATTTCCTTCGCTCCAATTTGCTCAAGCTGTGCAATATGGCCTGGACAAAAGTACATTCTCATTATGCTTTTGATGATTAGTGAAATTGGTATGGGAGCAAATTGTGGATATTCAGATGTCTTGGGAGACAGACTTATACTACAAGATAGTACAATCAGAAAATTAGCTAATGTGAGGCCTTTATATTCTAAATTAAGCTTCTACGCAAGCAACTGTCTAACGTACCATATCTCTTACTGTCTCCTGATTGTAGCCTTGGAGATGGAGAAATTATTGAACCATGTTTAAAATCCATATGAACTCATCTACTATATCAGTACATTAAAAGAGAAAACTGCAAGTTGTTCTTTTAAAAAAATGGCTGAGGTTTCTTTGAGATTTCCTACTGGCTTCTACTGTAAGACACAATCTGCCATGGGTCTTCATTTGAGCACAGTGACTCAAATATTCCCAGCTGAAAATCCTGGTTAATCACCTCCTACCATTCAGAGCAGTGTAACTTTGTATTATAAGCATCCCTTTAAAAAAATGATCCTGCTCATAGAAATATTTGGTTCATTCCCATTGTGATGATATGACAGGAGAACCTACTTTGATACTCCTCAGAGGGCTATCCTTCATGTGAGTGGGCAAGTTCTGTATGCAAAATTGGTTGTACAATAAGTTGGTTGACTGTGTGAAGGTAAGTATGCCAGAGGATGAAAAAAAAATCACTATGTGATTTCTTTTACTTTTGCTTAATACATCAATTGGATTTTGGGTGATGTGTTTTATGATAAGTCTAAAGGACATTTTGGCCTGATTTGAAATGGTCTCAAATTCCATCAACTTGACAAGGCTTGTTTCAAGCAACATTCATAGCCAGTTGGGTTAGGAACGTACAGCTGGCTATTGAACAAGAGGAATTATTTTGTATATTGGTAATTAGACAAAAGGGGACGTGGTGGCGCTGTGGGTTAAATCGCAGAAGCCTCTGTTCTGCAAGGTCAGAAGACCAAGCAGTCATAAGATCGAATTCACGTGACAGAGTGAGCGCATGTCGCTTGTCCCAGCTCCTGCCAACCTAGCAGTTTGAAAGCATGTAAATGCAAGTAGGTACCACCATGGTGGGAAGGTAACAGCCTTCCGTGTCTAGTTGCGCTGGCCACGTGACCACGGAAACTGTCTATGGACAAACGCTGGCTCTACGGTATGGAGACAGGGATGAGCACTGCGCCCTAGAGTCGGACACGACTGGCCTAAATGTCAAGGGGAACCTTTACCTAATTAGACAAAAGAAAAAAGGGAGGGGGAGAAGTAGGCTGCATTATCTTTGGAAATCTAGTCAGGGACAATGAAGGAGCAAACACCCATTACTTACTGAAGCCAATTCCTACTGGTAACCATTACGGACATGACATGGGGAGCTGGCCACCCGTCTCTAACAAAGGAGGTGGAGGAAGAAAACCTGAGAATATCAATTTATGTAGCAATCAATAATTATGCACAGAAGACAAGATGGACCGGAGATGTTTGGTTCCATCTGATTATTTGCCTGTCCATCCTTCCCCTTCTCAATTCAAATTACTTGTTGCATGTGGTGCTCAATTTGCAGCCATCCTTGAGTATGCATGCTGCTAGCTAGACTTAATGGGTATTGGAGCCTCACGACAGTGGGAGGGTTTATAGGTTTAGTAAATGTCATTATTTTGCAGTGAGCATTGATCTGGAGCACATTCTTTCTCTGTGGAGTTAATGTATGAGATAGTTTCACGACTGAACAAGTCATCATTCTTCATAACTATGCTGAACAGAATACAACTCAAGAAAAAGTAGATTTCTTCTTTCATTTTTTTTGCTTTTTCATTTAAAATCTCTTCTTCAATTTGTCCAAATGAAAGTATCTAATTTTCATACATTGAGCATTCTGTTCCCAATTTAAATTAAGCATTTTAAGTATTTCCGGAATGATTTTACAACCTATTACATATTTATGTGCATGATTCAGCTAGTAATAAAGCTGAATAGCTGAAGGACTAGATGAAGGCTATAGATTTCTGCTGGTATGGGTTCAAGTCAATTTCACTTAAGTCTTAACCTGTACTTGTTCAAAGTATCACCAACCAGGAGGAAATTCAGAGGAGAGCTGCAAGAATGAGCAGAGGACTGGAAACCAAGACCTGTAAAGAAAGTCTGAAAGAACTGTGCATGTTTAGCCTTCAGAAAATATGATATGGAGAGAGATGATAGCATTTTTCAAATACACAAAAGATAGATACAGAGGAGGGGCAGAATCTTTTCTCTATCATCCCAGAGGTCATGACATGTAATAATGGGTTCAGGTTACAGGATGTCAGTTTCCAGTTGAATATCAAGAAAAACATCCTAACTCAGGAGGTGATATGTGATCCAACCCTGGAGGCGTTCAAAAGAAAATTAGACAAACATCTATTAACTCTGTGTTGATTTGGATTCCTTCGTTGAGCAAGAAGTTGGACTCAATAGCCTTATAGGCCCCTTCCAATGCTATTATTCTATGATTCTATGGAACAGTGTACTGTATGTATATCTCACAAAGCAGAGTAGAAAAGGTGAGTAACAGAAGGAAAGGTGTCAGTTTGAAAGCTCATTAGTTTTGTTACTTTTGCTTGTTTTTCATTTCTATCAGGTTTTGACTTGATCAAATACAAATCCAAAAATTGTAAGATAATGCTCTTTTTGCAAGTAGAGTATGATAGTAAAAAACACAATGACCAGACTATGATTATGTTATTCAAATTGGTATGTGGATGCTTGAATAAAATGGTGTCAGGTAACATGACTCAGAAATTGTAAAGCATACTTTTTATAATCACAGCTCCCATAGTACCCCAACCAGCCTGGCCACCAGGCATTGTAGTCCAAAAATCTAGATATTTTCATCTCTGACACCACTGTGGTTCAATTTATGTTACAATATATTGTTTTATTATTAAGTAAAAGATAAAATGTGGACATTGTCTTTTATTCAATGGGCAAATAGGGTTTATTTGCAATTTGAGCCATTCACAGAAGTCTCCGTAGCACTGGTACTGAAGAAAGTTTCACATCCATGATCACACTGTGCCTGCAGAGCAGAATCACAGAAGTTTTGGTCTGCCAGATATTTTGGGCTGCTGCTCACATAATTCGTCAGTCAACTTACCTTGACTGAAGATGAGAGATGAAATCCCAAATATGTAGTGGGCCAATGATTCCTTACCCCTTCTTTCAATAATGAAGTAATTGGGGGCCTTTGAAAATATGTTTTGTTGTTTCTAGTATTTCCTGGAAACTATATTTAAATAGTTAAATACTCTTGAGGGTAAAATACAAAACCCAACAATTTAAGCCCGTTTGTTTTAACTGCAAGGTGATTTGGTGAAGGGTAGGCTAGAGAGGGAATGAGAAAGAGGGCAAGAAAGACAGTCTGTCAAACAGATGAGGAACGAACAACTCTATTTAACCTAAGTATCAAACAAACAAAAACCAAAGGGTTTATCAAATGCTTTCCAGTAATTCTGGCAAGCGTAGCCCAAAATATTTTGCTGTCTGACATGAAGCAGCATATGACAGTCTTCTATCCCCAGGTCAAGGTCATAGTGCTCAAGGACAGTCAAGTTATTATGGTACCTGCTGCAGAACATTTAAGAAACACCTCTGTCCTTCCCCTGCAGTAAAATGCAATAATAAACAATGATTTAACAACTTGCTGTCTTTTCATGAATATAGTCAAAATTAGTTGTCTCAAGCAATTACCTCATGGTCTGACAGTAGGACCAGTCTTGTAGAATTCCACATCCCTTTTTAAGCTAGAGAATATATCACACAATAGATGCATTTTGCACTTGTATTGAGAAGCTACCATTACTGCTCACATAAAGCAGCAGCTCCAAGATCTTGCAGCAACTCTCCGACGTTCTGATGGTCTCTTCGTTGTTTGATGACATGTGGTGGTCACTGGTCACAATTGTTCATTGTTGGAAGCAGGTGACTTTGTTGTGGATGGTATGATAATGAGACAAATGTTTTCATGACAAGTCAGAAACCAGAGGTTACTTCCTCTTGTAACGGCAGGTGGTTGTAATACGAACGTATCCTGTTAAATACATTAACAAAACATATTTTGTTTGTTTTTGGAACCTCCCTCCCCAATTTACTGAACATTTTAGATTAACTCTACGTTTTAGGTGGAATCATCACTGATTGCAGGATGACTACTTCAGAAACTATAACAGAATTGTTCTTGTCACATGAAGGATGTGTTACATGTAAACATGTGACTGTGCTGTTTCCTCCTTTCTGTAACCTCTCCCCCCATTCCTGAATGGTTCTAGGAGGGTAATAATAGGATGCTGTTGTGCTGAAGGCCATAAATAAGCAGTTCCCCATAATGTTGTATATGTTTCCTCACAAACATCTTAGACACTTCCATGCAGTGACCAATCACATTATCTCATCAAATACTGTATACATCTCAGGGATACTTGTATATAATCCAAAAGTCATAGTTTTGTCCCACAATTATTTTTTATGGGATGAAATTTTTTCTATCTTTTTCTTTTCGTGCCACTCACAGAGCAAATGAAATCCAAGCTGCCAACATGTAACAAAGCACTCTCTTCTTTTAAAATATGACAGTGGGTGGTTTCTCCATAAGGCCACTTTTGTCTTTGCTCTCTGAATGGGGTGTGTGGTACCATAGAGGAAAAATTCATGCTACTAAACAGCATTAGACAAATCTCATTCACTGACTGTTCATGGAGCATAAATTATGCTGGAGGTGACTGGGTGCAACCCAGATTAAACTAAAGATAAATGACTTTGCATGGGCAGGATTAGATTGATAGGGATGTCCTTGGGTCCCCGTACTGTCTTTGATCTGCTCTACCCTCTTCTTACTTCCTTCACCCTGGACTAATATTTCTTGAGGCTCTTGATGTCACTTCACTTCCTACTCTTTTTTTCCCTTGACCTCTCTTGGAGAGCAGACATTTTGCCTTTGTTCATGAGAGATAGGGGCAGCTATGATTCCCAGCATCTCTCCTTTAGTTAGCTAGAACTAGGATCAAAATGGTCTTTTGTTATTTTCCTAGCACAAAGATGTGAATATGATTTTCCCCCAGTGGGGAAAGTATTCTAATGATTCTGATATTTGGGGGCTAAAATGCAACTGCTGCTTGCTTTGATAACAGGTAGGGCATAGGACTTTCCTTACCTACTTTGTTTGAGAGATGATGGGAATATGCTAAGTATGCAGAATAATGTTAATGCTCCAGTCCATTTGGAAGGACCCTGACATTAAAATCTAAATGAAAAATGAACAATTATTCTAGTAAGTGTGGTATGTTCTTCAGATGCGACTGTCTCATTTTTGTGCCTGTGCGCTCGTGCTACAAGAAAATGTAGGTGTGTCTCTGCAAATATAGGCTAGGTCAGAACTTGGAGAAGTTACTTTTTTGGATCACAGCTTCCCAAACTCCGCAGATAACATCCCCAGTTAATAGAAAAGAAGGTGTAATAGACCACATTCTAGAACTGAGGAAGAATGGAACTAGAATTGCTGTCTTTTCCTAGTTATGTTTCTGTGCCTTTAGCAGCTGCATTACACCTTCCAGGTAAATCTTCTGGTGCTTCCATCCTTAATTATCATGCAGCTATGCAAACCCCTTTATAGAACTGAAAAGGTGAGAAAACTGTGAATATGGAAAGGAATAGAACTTCTGGATCCCTGTTGGTAATGATGGAAATATCCTTACTTGAAGAACTGACCCAAAACTCTTTGCTGCCTGAGGTAAATGTTAGTGTGTCCCTTCCCCCTATACATATAGAAGTCAAATGAACTAGCAGTATTGAATCTTACTTCAGTTCTGGTGAAAAAGATGGCATATGAAACAACAGGTAAGTTTAGGTGGCTTGAGAGAAGCCATCTGACATATACAATGCTTGTCTTTCAACTGTAGGGAACAGCCAGGGTCTGCCTCTGCTGCCCCTCAGCATCTGCTGCCTGAAGTGGTCCTCTTACTGTGTATAAGGACTGAGCTAATCTTGCTTGTGTGACACCAGGAAAAAGCTAGGTTGAGAATCAAAGCACCTCAAACTGCTGCTATGGAGCTACACTATTCTAAAGTAGTGTATGATTCTGAAAGAAAATATTAGAATTCCAGAACAAAGAACATGCATGATCACACAAAGCTAGATTCTCGAAAACATTTTCGACGTCTACTTTGAAAAGCAAATAAAATTTGCAACAAAAGGTAAGAACAAATTGCCCTAGACTATGATTACAAAGTTATGTGTGCTAATTTAGCTTCCTCTTCTTAGAATGTCTGGTTTCTTGGCTTGTCCTTGTTTTTGTTCCTCTTTACTCCTCTACCAAGAATGACCTCATAATGGCCAATTCACAGGAAAACAGTGCTCACAAATACAGTATCTCCAACTGTGTTGTTACCATTGTTCTTACGGATTAGTTGCTTGCCGCAGTTCTTCTTTTTCTTCTTCCCACTCTTACGCCGCTTATGCTGCCGAGCCCCTGAGCTCCTAGATCGACAGGCACAGCGTTTTCTGTGTCTTGCCATCTTTGGCTGGGATTTGTGCTAAATTCCCCAATTAAAGGGCTCCATCTGTTGACTGGGCTGAGGTAGCCTGTTCCTCCCGATGGTCTTTGGGCTTCTAAAGGGACATGCTAGGCTAATGCAGTTTTTAAGGCTCAGGGTTTTGTGATGTAACAAGGGATGTGGCTGCTATCCTCTCTGTCATCACCTGAGGGCACTGGCTGGTAAGTATAAGCTCATGTTGAAATGGTCATTTATATTATCCGTATTGATTATAAGTCTTATAATGTTAAAGGTCCATCCTTCTTATGAGGCTCATTTAAATTTTGATGTATCAGAAATTTGATATACGTGATATTTACATTTAGAAGATAGATTTATCATTCATCAATTATCACTCAGTTCTCTTCCTCTTTTTGCTTTTACTTTCTCAGCAATAGACAGCTTAATGCAAACCCTGGATTATATGTTTTACTTCTTATTGCTTCTCCATAAACTTTAAAATATAGTGAGCTGCTAACATTTAAAAATATCCTGTATGAATTGAAAATGCAGTAGTTTGGATGGGTATGTATGAAATCTGATGTAAAGTGTTACAAATTGATGTTTGGTATTTACCCCCTGGCACGCCCCTTCATTATTTTATTACAAGGGAACATATATTAACTATGTATAAACACTTTTGGACACAGTGTTCAATGGCCAGCCTCATTAAGTTGTGAGTTAATGGCTGTATTACCTTGTAGTGAAAACCATCTAAGAGCATTATTGGCATTTTCTAACCTAATTAGTAAGGGTGAGTTCAGAGGATTATTAGCTGATTGCCTCACAAGACATGTTTTTGCAGTCACTTTTGTCATGGGAATTGACTTTCACCCTTATTGCGAAAAGATTGCTTCTACATTTCCTTGTATGTTGGGACTGTGAAATGACTGACTTAATAAGGACGGAATCTCCTTTATTAAGATCACCATCAAATATACTGCACTATGTCCTCTTTCCAACTCAAGTAAGACAGGAGATCAGAGGCAGTGTTTCTTTTTCTTCATCATCTACTTCCTCAACAGCAGTAACTCATTTCTGATACAACTTCCCAGGCAGGGTTGCCAAACTGAGCACGACTTTATTCTACAAAATTTAGAATCAGAAGTGGGGCGTACATGTTGTAATGTCTTGGGGTGGGGCAGTGATTGGGAACTATTTTTGGATCAGCTAGGTGTAGAAATGGGCATGAAAGAAACTGCCATGCCCTCAGGCGGGAAGTGAAGCACTATAGCTCGGCTCCATCACAATACCACCCCAGTGTGTCATGGTTGCCCACAGTGGCAGAGGGGCTCTATGTAAGGCCCCACTGCTCCCACAAGCAGACAGCACAGCTCCACACGGCTGCTTACTACTGCAGACAGGCATTTGGGAAACACCCAGTTCTGGAAAATTGAGCGGAATAGGAATAGGGGTGAGGCCTTCTCAAGGTGGAATGAGCACAGAATTTGCCAGTGTTGATGCTCCATGCGTTAAGTTGCCTCACTGCATTTAAAGGAAGGATAAACAGTCTGAGAATACATATGTATACAGGATTGTTGAACCATTGCTGTAGTGTGTCTTATAGGTTTGCCAGATCAGCAGCTTCTTCTTTGCTGGGGTTTCAGGGTTCTGCACCACTTCCTAGATGAATACCTACAACACACAGGTGGTCAGCGGACCTAGTCCTGTTTGGGATTATACCCTTAATACATATGAATTTCAGTGTGCTGAAACAGGTTTGTGTCAGATACATGAGCCCTGGTGTCAACGAGAAATGGGGAAAACCCAGACACTCATGCTTTAAAGACATTCTAACACAATGAAATCAAAATTTTCTCTACCCCAGCATCAGTCAAGCTGAGATTTGTCTATGTCTGGAGAACTGTGGAAACAAAGTAATTATGCGAAACTTCAGCTGGTGCCCAAAGGCCTGGCAACTCTTGCATCTAGGGACAATCGTCCTAATGGCTCACACAAAGCCATTTTTCACAGGAATTTACTGAACACATACATGAGAATTTTTTATGCTTGATTTTGCAGCAAATGACACTCCTTTTTAAACTCAAAGATGTAAATTACCCACAGCCAATCATTTCATTTAACACCTGAGGCAGAAGAAGCACCCCTCAGCCTTTCTGGTAGTATAAACACTGAAGATGGGAAATTAAATAATAAACAATTTCCTGCCAGATTATGACACCTAGAATCTGTTGCCTAAGGTGGATGTGGTTGCCTCCCTCTATTTAGTTGTAGGACTGGCCCTGAACACCCAGGTGATGAACTATATTGCATCAGGCTTGTCTTTTATAGTATGTCTACAGCAGAACTTTCAGCGTTACTTTTTGGACTGCAGCTCTCAGAATCCCAGAGAATCCCAGAGTCAGCAAGGTTTTATTGAGTGGGGGGTCCTGGAAACTGTAGTCCAAAAATAAAAAAGTTGATAATGTTTCCATAATATATAAATGTGATTGAGAGAGAACAACACAAGCTGCAGTGAGGAGACAGACAATGGTTTCTTGGTAATATCTACTGGATGCTGGATGGATAGTCAGTGGATTACGGATTGGCAGTTCAATTCCCCACTATGCCTCCTGTGAATAGAGCCAGCCTGTGTGGCCTTGGGCAAGCTGCACAGTCCCAGGGTGATCCCAGAAGAAGGGAATGGTAAATCACTCTACTGTACCTAGAAAACTCTGGATAGGGGTAAGTCAGAACTGACTTAATGGCATATGATTATTATTATTATTAACACATTGGTGTTCACTAATTCACTTTTCCAAGGAGTCTTCTCATGAGATGGCCAAAGAAGAGAAGACTCCTTGGAAAAGACCTTGATGTTGGGAAAGTGTGAAGGCAAAAGGAGAAGGGGTCGACAGAGGATGAGATGGTTGGACAGTGTCATTGAAGCAACCAACATGAATTTGACACAGCTACGGGAGGCAATGGAAGACAGGAGGGCCTGGCACGTGCTGGTCCATGGGGCCACAAAGAGTCGGACATGACTAAACGACTAAATGACGACAACGTTCACTAAACATGAATGAATTTCATAGCCAGTCTTTATTGCAACTGTCGGTGTCACTGAAACTATGCATTAATGTTTGTACAGCCCAGTCATTCATTCTTGTACCATTACACACCATGCAGGAAAAGGTCATAGAAACACTTCCTTCTTAATTAAGTGGTGTGATAGAAACCCTATCTAATCTGCTTGGTAACAGGGAAGCAAGGAGATTGGCTAGGTGGCGCATGAGGACAGCGTATCCTGAAACTTGAAGGAGGAGTTTGCTGGAAGGCTGAAGAAAGAGAAGAGGAGAAGAAAAGTAGAACAGAAGAAAGAGAGTGTGTTGTTGGGCTGTTGAGTTGTAACTGAAGAAGAGGCTTAGAACTGTTTCCCAGGTTTTTGTAATTTTTGTTCCCAAGTTGATGTTATTTTGCAATAAAGAGAATATCATTTGTCACTCTTTAACCACTGGGTCTGGTGTGGTTAATGGCTGATGTCAGACTTTTAAAGGAAAAGCTATTTTAAAAAGGGACAAGCCTAGGTTGGGGCTGTTCATAAGTGGTAATTAGCGTATTATGTGGTCTTTTGTTTGTCATGTCCTATTACGTAATCTATGCAATTAGCAGTACAGAAGCAAAAGCTCTGTTAATGCTCTCAGAGGAAAATTATGTAAAACAATGCAAAGCATGTAGTTAGTAAGTAACACAAATGATTTGTGCATTTCAAATTATGTGCTTATTCCATTGCTTGATATAGAATGCATTTTCTAGGATAATCAGAGTGCCATATGTGGATCTGACCAGTCTAGAATTTTAAATCATTGATCAATTCACAGGATCATTCTTGGTTTCATTTCTAAAAAATGTTGCATGTTTAATACTGAAACAAAGTCTGTTAGTTCACTGTTTAGTTCTGCTCTATTTCTTGCAGAATTTGAAAGTTACTTTTTTGGGTGTTCGGTCCATGAACTATGCTGGCTGGGAGATTATGGTCATTGTAGTCCAAACTCTAGTAACTACCGGTACTTAAGGCCACTAAGGTACTAAATAGTGGATGAAATCCTGTTGTGCAATTATGCAAAAAGCATTCCATTTGGAAGCAAAGAGATGTAAGTTAAGAAATCTCCATAGCCATTATCTTTTGCATTCCAACTCATGTGACTTGGCATGCAACAGATAATGACTACATGGATCTCTTGATTTAGAGCAATTCACTTCCAAAGGTATGTCTTTTGCTTAAAGATGTAACAGAATTTACTTTACAGAAAAAGTACTGGTAAGTCTTTTTCTCTCCTATTGATGTGACTGTATGGGAGAAACACAAAGTCACATGAAACCTCTGATGGTGTCAAGACGATGGCCTTTCACAGAGACAGAGGTGGTATTACAGGATTGTTTTTGGTTATGCAACACTACTGATTCTGTTCTGCAGAGGTCTCTGGCCAAAATGATTTTAGCAATTCAGGCACAGAACTTGATCACTTCCAGTAATGCAATGAGCACAAAAAAGGTGAAAATGAATTTATTAATAAATTTCATTTTCACAGTAGTTTACTTAATTGTTTAACAACTGCAATGAAAACATCCTCCTGGAAGCAGGAGGAGACAAGACATGGATTCATCTGTGGACATAGTCTCAACAAGGAGACAAGTTACAAAGAAAAGAAAAATAATGCCCCTCATTGCCTCTTCTTGTTTCCTCCCACTTTCACACTCCCACTTTTTTAAATAAGCGATGCAGTGCATCTGTACTCCCTTAATGCAGTCAAAAAATTAACCCTCTGTCCCTCTAGGGATCAGAAAAAGTATTCAATTTGCCTACAGTGGTACCTCAACTTAAGAACTTAGTCTGTATTGGGACTGCGTTCTTAAGTTGAAACGGTCTTAAGTCGAAACACCATTTCCCAAAGAAATGCATTGAAAACCGATGAATGCGTTCCCCATTTCCCAAAGAAATGCATTGAAAACCAATGAATGCGTTCCGAGGAAAGAAAAAAAGGCAAAAAGGCAGGGGAAAAGGGCTGGAAATTCAAATTTCCCACCCTTTCCCCCTGCCTTTTTGCCTTTGGAGGTCTCAAAGGGCTTCCTCCGATGTCGGGGGAAAGCCCTTAGAGACCTCCAAAGGCGCTAAGGGTTTTCCCCCGACATCGGAGGGAGCCTTGCAGACCTCCGAAGGCAAAAGGGCAGGGGAAAGGGGCGAGAAATTTGAATTTCCCACCCTTTCCCCCTGCCTTTTTTCATTCATAGGTCGAGGCTCCGTTCGCAAATCGATGCCAATTTCTGCGAATGGATCAGTTCGCAAGTCAAAATATTTGTAGGTAGGGGCGTTCATAAGTCGAGGTCTCATTGTACACACACACACACACACACACACACACACACACACACACACACATACATACATGTTTCCTGTAACCATTATGTAAACAGAACCCACTTTACTACCACTGAAAAACAGAAACGCATCAACCAAAAAAGAAAGCAGAAGACACTAGTTTGCATTCATATTGCATATGAAAGCAAATTAAGGAATCACTGTACAGTGGACCCTTGACTTACAGACGGCTTGACTTACAGACTTTTTGAGTTACAGACTTCTCTGGCCGCAAAATTTAGGTTTGACTTGCAGACTGAGATTTGATTTACAGACCAGAAAAAAACCAAAATGGAACAAAAACGGCCTGTTACGGGATTAATCGGGTTTCAATGCACTGTAGGTCAATGGAGACTTGACTTACAGACTTTTTGACTTGAGAACCGCCTTCCAATACGGATTAAGTTCTCAAGTCAAGACCCCACTGTAATACAAGAAGAAAGACTGTGGCCAGATGCCTTAGTGCCTGCTTAGTCTAAGTCCAGTGCTGCCCATTGATGGACAGTTTGAAGGTCCCAGCTCTTCCTTCCCATGGATCAAAGAGAGAAAGTCCTTCAAACAGGCATTTTTCTCTGACCGGGTCACCTTCAGATTTGTTCGACTATGGCATGCATCGCCCCATGCATGCCATAGTCCAATATGAAGGCAGAAGCAGTCGAACACACCTGTGGTTAGTAACAGACCAGAAGACATGGAAAGAGAAGGCTGTCCTTTCTATAAAGTAGGACATGTGTCCTCCTAAACTGGGCAGGGAAACTACCTCACTAAGAGGAAGGATTAAACACAGGAGGGGTCAATTAGCCTTTTAGAGAATGGTTCTAATGTTTCAGTTGAGGACTAAGCCTTTGAAATCTGGCAGTGGCATCTGTATTCCTCTGGTCAATCTAATCTTTGGCTTGCACAAAGGACAATATTATAGTTCAGGAGATGCCCCTGGTGAAATCCTGGAAAAATATCTAAGAGCTGTGTGAGATCTTGGAGATCAACAGATGTATTGCAGCAAGAACTTTGATGGAAACATGGCCCATGTCCTCAGCTGCATTGACTGAATGTACTTGAGGAAGTGGCTGTGGGTCCACAAGAAAGCCCATAGTGTAATAAAACTTTTAGCATGAATGTCAAATAAACTTAAAGGAAAATGCATATTTCCTACACTTACAACCTTTCCTTCGAAGCATGGAAATCCTTCAAATCTTGAAGAATTGAGGAGCCAGACAAGCAAATACAGCATGCATCCACTTCTTGATGCTTCATTACAGAATAAACAAAACATATTTTCAAAATGCAGATTGAGGCAAGCTCAAGTTAAGATAAATATACAAGACTTTACCTCTGAAGGGAGCAGCTTCACTTCTGATTATATGATAACTGTATGATCTAGTTCTACCTCTCAAGGTGCCATACAACTTTTTTGTTGTGTGGCACCTTGTTGCAAAAAATAAAAAAATTACACCATTATCCCAGTTGGATAGTGCAAATTGAGAATTGTGCACCTTTAAATGAAATAAAAAAAGAATTAAAGCTTGTGAAGGATTCTTTTTCTCAGTGAGACTTATGCATGAATTTTGTTGCACTGGCTAGCTTATTTTTCTTCAAGTCTAAAAGGATTTAGTGCTGTCACTTTGTAGATTTTATTCCTTTCATTGCTCTCGACAGAAAAGGGCTGATGAAGTCAAAGGGAATAGTTTAGTGAGATGACAGCTCCAATTATGAATGCTTAGGAGTCGTTTCAATGTGCTCACTTCTATTACCTTATTTCCTATCAATGACTGCATTGAAACCACTCACCTCATTTTTCAAGTCAACATTTCTTCAAGCAAAAGGTTTAACTTAGAATAACTGATGCTTCACAATCTCCCTCTCTCTGACATCAGGGAAAAATTCATCAGCAGTTTCAGAGTATTTGAATGAGTTCTCAAAAACTTTCCTCCTCCTCTTTACTTTTCCCCTATGAGAGCATATCTGTGCAAATCATGTGAATGACTGGTATTCGTTAATTTTTGTTAATTCTCAAATACAACTAGCTTTAGATTTTTTTTTAAATCAAAGAGTATGCGTATTTTCCCTAAGTACTGTTTCAACAGGTTAGAAATGTAGTTGATAGAGCTTATTTTCCTAAGAGTAGTAATTGCCCCTTTTCAGACCTCAACACTGTTGGCAATTTAGTTGCCTTTGGAAAAACCAACAATACGTGTGAGCCTCTGAGGGAACTCAGTGTTAAAAGAATGATTCAGATAATTCTCTGTACCAAAGCGATTGGGCAATAGCTGAGGGGGCTATAGGCTCCCCCTTCCTGCTTTAGAACTCATAGGCTCCAGTCCTATGTGCCCTGCAACATAGAAAAGGGTGCCAAGGTAGTGGTTTTCAGGAAGAGGAACAAAAGGCTGTGCTATGTGAACTGGCTTAATCTGAATGGGCGGTAGACGAAGTTGTTTCCAAAGGAAAACATATGGATAAAATTATGTTGCACATTGTCAAACCCTATTTTAACTATTAACACAAAAAGTGTCATACTTAACAGGACATTTGAGTTCACATTTTCGTTAATTTTCACATTTGACTTTTCAACCTTTTATAAATTTGGCCTGTTCTTCTGGCACCAAATGACCCAAAAAGTCTAGGGACTTGAATACACTACAATTCATCTAGCTGTTTGAGCTGCAGTTGTCACAGTCAGTTCCGGGTTATTTTTTTCAATTTACTACTTGATGTATAGCTTACCGTAAGATTTTATGGTCCTTTTGCATGGCCATCCATTGCATTTTATTTGGCCACTGGGGTCAACTCAATATGAGCTGTAGTGATTCAACTCATATTGCTTTGTTTTGGGTTCCGGAATGTCTGATTGGCACTATTGGTCCTAAGGGCTGGTGGCAGGTGTGTGATGTCAATAGGGATGTCTTCAGTGGGGTGGGGTATGGTAGTACAGCAGGGACTAGTGAACACCTCTTGTCTATTCTCAGAGGGATTTCTTTCCCTCCTAATTTTTAAAATGGTTCTACCGCCTAGAGCGGTCGAAATGACTGGATAGGCGGGGTATAAATAGAATAAATAACTAAATAAAATAAATGTGAAACTACATCAGATAAGCAGGGGTATAAATAGAATAAATAAAATAAATGTGACACTACATCAGATAAGCGGAATGTTCATAATGGCCTTGGTAAATTCTTTTGTGTAGGGATAGTAGTGGCTATGTCCTTTTATGTCAGCATGGGGAGATATTTCTAATCCACTGGGCTGGAGAGGGAGGCAGAGAGACTAGTAGAGGGGTCAACTGGATCTTTGTCTTATATATTTTTACTACTACTACTACTACTACTACTACTACTACTACTACTACTACTACTGCTACTGCTACTGCTACTACTACTACTGTAAAGGAAAGAATCTCTGGAGGAGAAGGAACCTGCAAAGAGATTTTAATTGTCACATATATGAACTCTCCCATGATCATGCTATGTTCTTCTCATTTCAATCAACCTGACTACATCAGATGAGAGAGTATTATTTGTCACATCCACCCACTTCTCTCTCTTTTTCAAACACATGCACAGGACTTGGAAATCAAAGTGTTTCCTTCTCCTTCTGATCTCCTCCCCTCCTTTCATCAAGTCATTGAGAAAACAAAAACATTCTGGCATATCTGGACAAGCCATCCTTCTCCACAATCCTGAATCCCTGTTTAAAGAGAAGAGCAAGTAGGTGTATGAGCATGCGCACATACACAAACAACAGAGGGCACTCCGAACTCATCCTGACTCTTATTCATATAATATTTCTGGGAGGCTGTGATCTAGTTGAAAATTTTAGTGTTTAGAAGGTGTGGTGTGGACTCTTGCCATGGGATAATCAAACATATCTGTGAGTATGTTCATAGTGATTTCATCAGTGGAAACTGCCTATGGTGTGGTATAGAAAACTCTCAAGCCCCTCAAATAAACTCCAGGCAATCTCTCTGTGAATTTGAGCCCCATGAAAATGCTGCTCCTAGGGCCCAGGTAGATACCACTACTACTTACAATATTTTAATCAAAAACTTCAGTGTCACTATATCTATGAATAGAACTGTGTATGCGTTAAAGATTTGCTAACCAACATGTGAACATCAAATTCCATGTTTCTAAAATGAGACACATCCCATTTGTGATAACTGGATGTCTGCTTAAATTTGCTTGTGAGGATGGTTAACTTTTGTTAATTGAAATGAGAATAGCTTGAAGCAGATTTTGAACTGTGTTGCCTTCACTGGTGTCACTGAGCTCACTCAATCATATGTCCTTTTCTTAAAAATCAACAAGGGTCAAAAATAGACTCAACCCATGATTTCTTCTGAGATTTCTCTGTTTATGAAAACATGTAGTGCATGCAGGTGATATTTGCTTCATTTCACATCTTCCGCTTTACTCTAATGCTTTGCTTCATTCTTGACAAAATAATGGGTTCAGAAAAATATTGTTGGTTACTAGATCAGACTAGAAAATGCTGCCACACTTGTCTGATCAGACCTCACCCCAATTCTTGAGCCACATGAGTGTGCAAAAGAGATGCTTCTCCTTGTTGATTATCAAGACCATTTGTTAGTGGCATAAGTAGGTCAGTACCCTCTCACTTTTCTTTCTCTTTTCTCAGTGAACACTCTAGAATTCTGTTTGACATTCCGGAGGTCGTAGATGTCATTGAGCATATGTCTTTATCTGACTGGATTTAGATCTGCCATCATTTTATTTTTATTTTAATGAGGAAACTAATATAAATCTGCAATATGTTAAGAATTTCCAGAGAACACAAAAACAGCACCTTTTTCTTAAGGTGGCTCCATTTTACTTTACTGATAGACAAAAAAAATCAAAGTTTTTATGTTAGAAGGAATCATGAGGCTAGTTAGCAAAGACATACAGTTGAGAAAGAAAGATGGATAATGTGCAGTCCAGATGTTTGAGATGGCAACTCTCATCTGCTGCCATCAGCATGACCAGTGCTCAAGGATCATGGGAGTTTTAGTCCAAAACACTTGCTTGCTTGTGCTTTGGGACTTCAGATAACCACAATAAAACTAGCATCCTTCCCTTGTTCCTTAAGCTCAGAGCAACTGAACAGGACAGTCTGGCTGAGCTTCCTTCATATCCTTTTTTCCCCACAAAAAGCAGAAAGTCTGGCATACAGAGGAATAGCAGAAAGGCAAAAATGTAAAGAGGAGAGTTGCTACTGATTTAGCTCAGAAACATGATTCTGGGATTGTGGGGAACTAGGCATGAGTTCATTGAAAAAAGAAACATTACACCTTCCGTTTCATTGTCACAGCCCATTAAGAGAGAACCAGATCCAATCTGATCCTGTGCTCAATCAGCAGCAATTCCAGGCAAATTTTCCATGTCACTGACTGTACTGTAAAGTGACTCTGGATTTTAGCAACTGTTGAATATTGTAACTCATTATTAAAACTTACTTCTACCTTATTGAACCACAAATCTGTTTCCAACTCCACATAATTCAATGTCTATTTATAAATCTGTTTTCACTCTCAGACCTGCTCTGCGAGATGAAGAAATCAAAGGAAACCAATCTGAGTGGCACGTCTGTTTAAAATCATCTTGTGCACGCTTCTATTTGTTGTGTGAGGAACCACTGCATATATTCAGGATAATTTAATGTGTGAAGTGAGGTGTGACAGGGAACAGGCTGCAAATTCTGTTTTACAAAGACCTAATAGGAAAAGACAGTTAAAATTCAAGTTCGTTTTAACCTGCCTCTGGTTTTTATCATGGTGCAGTGCTGCGTTGTCGGAGATTTTCTGTTGTATTTTCCTATATGAGGATTGTCTTAAAATAGTCTAATAGAATATTGCAGGTTATACATGGCTTTGAATAATTGTGTAGGAGGTGTCAATAAAGTACTGCCTAAATTCTGATCTTAAATTTGGATAATGTGAATCATCCACTATTACAATCCTTTAAAAGAAAACAACAAACCAACCCTATATTTAGGCTAAAGTTTGCAATAGTCTTATGGTTTATCTGTATATTAGAGGCAAGTTCTCCAACAACAGTTTTACCTACAATAAACCTGTCCTCAAAATATTTTGAGTCTTTAATATTTAGGTGATGAACTGCCATTATTTTGGCTATGATGGCTGAGGACTGGCTAGTTTGCCATTTCTGCCTTCCACTATTAAAGTGCCCATGTTCCTTTTCAGGCATGGAAAACTAATTGGCTGTGCACTGCTTGTTTATCCACTTGCCCTTCTGGTGTTGGAAACTGAGCACTAACTCTCTTAAGGAATGTAACAAGTAATCAGAAGCAGTGATAAGGAGATAGATAACAATGTGTACTCTTCTAAAACTACAACTATGCGTACTCAAGTATCTCTCCCCCCCTTGTCTTTTCTTGCTGGTATGTAGATTGCTACTCTCAGACTCACTTCCTCAATTTTTCCCCCTTCATAATTAAGTTTTTGAAGTTTTTCCAAAGTTCAACAAGTGAAGTTTATTGTTGCACTCCTTTGCTAGACTGAGGAAGCCCCAGATGGCTTCTCCCTAGTGGCTACCAGCAGGTCTGCACTCATGAAAATCAGCTCTAAGGACTTTTGTAGTTGAAATAGAATTCTTTCTTGTTGTACTGTCTTGTTAAATGGATTTCTTGAAACAATAAAGAAAAAATTCATTTTTGCCTCTCTTATCAATTTCTGGAGTAGTTATTGCTGTTCAGTATTCACAAGCTCAGCATTGAGCTGCTGCACTCTGCTAGAATAAATAACATTGTCAACTATTTCTACATCAGGAAATACTAACTCAGATCTTAAGGAGTTTTCTACTAGATGTAAGTTTGTTACCTTCTCAAGTGTGATATTGTCCATGCCTCACTTTGCTTTGACTGGATCTGGAGGCAGATACATGATGCTAATGCTAGTGGGAGACCAGTGAGCTTTGCTTTATAGCAGGAGTGGGAATTCTCTCTCTCTCCATCTCTTTGTCTCTGTCATCTTCTTGCCCATTGGCTTCCTGAAACACAGGTATGCTTGTCCAAGGTGAGGACGAAACACAGAAAGAAAAGCAATATTGTGTCTCCAGTGCCCTCTCCTCTGTCTACATGCCACTGAACGTTTATAATGGAGTCTATGCCCAGAGATTGGGAGAGATTCATATGTGCATACTGTTCTATGCCTGCCTGCCTGCCTGCCTGCCTGCCTGTCTAGCTACAAACTAAATAGTCTTCTAAATATTTTTGGTTCCTTCCTTCCTCTATGTCTCATCTGCAAAACTGCTAGGGCAGCTTGCAAAAATGAAACAAAGTACAAAAAGTACAAAAATAAAAATGAACTGCAGTATAATGGCCTTCAGACATTTGAATACACATTGCCCCCCTGATCTAGGCTCATTCATTTTCTATAATCCAAAGCGGACTAGCTTCTCCTATGTGTATCTCCTCTGCAAAGAGGCTGCGGATTAATCATAACATGAATCTGAAAAGATACAGCTGAAGCAGAGCTGCTGAACTGCCAGTAAGTGCACTTGCCTGGTTATTAGCAAATGCCTTAAAGAATTCCACAGAGCAGTGGTATTATTACTACAATACTATTTTCATCAATTTAAATGAATAACGGATATCATTAGAGCAACTTGGACTTCTGTCACTGTTTGAGCTTCTCTTTTATTTATTGTTTTTAAATGACATTTTTATATTGCCCATTAACCTACCGTAATCTCTGGGTAGTTAACAAAGTCTTTTAAATCAACAAAACACAGTTGAGTAGCATACAATAAATGTTAAGTAATATCAGTACCATATCGTGCAATCATAATGAAACCAGCAGAAGATGCAAGTTCAGCTTTGTCGTCAAAGAGAGAGATGTGCATATTTCTGAGAATCATATTCTGGGTATGCGACTCTCACCCTTTCCTGCTCACTTGCCTTCCTGCTTGCTACTGAAATCAGATCCTCCATTAGATATGGAAAGTCAAGAAAGTGGCCCATGATCAGGTGCTTGAAGCAAAAGAGGGATTCATTATTTATAATGACAGAATTGGCTATCGTCCCATGTTTGACATGCAGCATTATGTGTCTGGTCTGTTCCTTTGATTTTCAGAAGCCTATCCTTTGGTCTGAGAAGCCCAGTTGCTGAAGAAGATAACCTTCAGGTCAGGTTCTCAGAAGAGACAGACCAGGCTGACAAAGCTGGTGTCTGAGCTGGTGGTATGCATGTCTGCTTTCACTGGGGAGATGGCTTAATAGATTGGAACATCTGAGTCAGGTGTTTAATGCCCCATTGTGACTCCTAGAAGTAAAGCCAGTCTGTGCATCCTTGGGCAAGTATCCGATCGCAAGACACCACTAGAACTGGTAAACCACTTCTGAGTACTTTATACTGAGAAAGCCCCAGAAAGGACCACCATAAACTGGAATCAGTGGCACATAATTAATTAATTATGTCTGTCTTTGTGGCTTCAAAATCAGAAGTAATCTGCTGTATCCTCCCTCCCACATCACTTTGGAGGTTTTTTGGCTTTGTTTTGTTTTTGTTTTTGCTTCCTGAGCTACAGCTAGACCCTTTGTAACTTGTTTGCCACCCTTACTTTTGTTGTGGTTCTTGTTATTAATTCAATATTGATTGATTCATGCATGTTAAAGAAAAGAAACAAAATTTACATCCCATGGGTTCAGTAAAATGGAAATCTGTCTCCACTTCTCAAGACTTAATTAGGGCTGCACAGAGTGGGTGGACATAAATATTACTTACAGGTCACATCTTCATGTGAAAGCTTCTGAGTCTCATTCTGTCTGCAGTGTTTCCTAGCTCTACTATATATGGTTACCGTACATCAAGAGTTTTCAGCATTTGGATGGTTTCTCAGGACGGACACAGGTTTCACCCAAGCCTGCAAAATGTTGGAAGGAAAGCCATCAATATATGTAACAGGTAACCTGAGAAATCTTTGTTCCTTAAGGGAGGGGTCCCCAACCCCCAGGCCATGGCCCATTGCCAGTCCATGGCCTGGGCCGGACTGGGCCACAGAGACAGATCTCCCACCCCCCCCACTCCCCCTGCACAACCCCTTTGCACTTGTGTGTGAGTGGGTGCCCCCACATCAGCGGCCCCACCCCTTCACACATGTGCGCCAGTGCCCCTGAGCAACCCCACCCTTCACACATGTGCATGAGTGTACACATGCCTGTGTGAGTACCCCATTGCTCCATCATGCATGCACATGAGTGTGCACACGCCCATGCAAGCATGCGCCCATCCCTTCATGGATGTGCGGGAATGCCTGTGTGAGTACCCCATTGCTCCATCACGCATGCGCATGAGTGTGCACGCGCCCATGCAAGCATGCACCCACCCCTTCACGGATGTGCAGGAACGCAGGGATGCCCCGCCTTCCCCAACCAGTCTGCGGTGTTAAATAGGTTGGGGACCAAAGCCTTAAGGTATTTTGGCCTGCATTTTCCAGTCCCTGGTTATAGGCATGCTGACTTGGATGTGAAGTTAGTTAGTTATTTAGTTAGTTAGTTAGTTAGTTAGTTAGTTAGTTAGTTAGTTAGTTAGTTTGCTTGCTTGCTTGCTTGCTTGCTTGCTTGCTTGCTTGTTTGTTTGTTTGTTTGTTTATTGAATATTTATACTGCCCAATTAGTGATTAACGCTACTCCAAGCTGTGATAATGAAAAAAACAAACAATCAAACCCTGACCACCACCCATCAACAAAGAACAAACAGTAAAATAAAATACATTTAAAATTAACAAACAATAAGCCACCCTATCAAGGTAACATCCAAAACATCTAAAGTGCCATAGTTTTACCAACCTTACTGTAAGGGACATAGCTCTTGGGGTACCCTTGAAAAGATTACAGTTCCCAAGTGAGCTGGAAGCTCTGACACACTGTGGTGTCTAATCCTAGTGGCAGAAAAAGAAAGGGATAGGGGGAAAGAAAAGAATAATAATATTTGGCTTTGTTACTCCATGGGGCTCCTGCTGGGAACCATAATTTAAAAGATAAAGGAGGGACAGAGAGAATACTTTGGAGGTGGTATGACTACTATTCTTTGGTTCTTTGGCCTGGAGATTGATCTAATCCACAAAGGAATTTGCACAGGGCTCTTCTCTGAACTAGCCTTAGATAAATTCTTATGACATCCCCAATCTCTACAAGCAACTTTCTTTTTGGTCAACCTGCCCCAACTGTTACCCAAATCTAAGGACCTATCTATGCTGAGCAACTGTGTTACTAATTCTGACCTGTCTGGAGAGGCTGCATTCAGTAAGTGGTGACAAGGTACATGAATAGTTTTTAATGAGAGCACAGAGTGCTGTCCTCTGAAGATGCTGGCCACAGAGACTGGCGAAACGTTAGGAAGAACAACCTTCAGAACACGGCCAAAGAGCCCGGAAAACCCAGAACAACCATTAGATCCCAGCCGTGAAAGCCTATGAAAATAAAATGGTCTCTGTTACCTCTTTATTAACAGTGATGATACAATGGAGCTGCCCTTTAAAAAAAGAAGAAAAGAACATGATTTATTCATTAGCTCCCTTAACCACATCTACAAAGACTAGTGAGGACTGCAAAACAATTTCTTATTGATTTGTTTTTTTAT